TCGACCAATCATCGTCCAGTAACTCTTTCGTGAGAACGGACGAAAGGGGGATGAATGAGGGGTAACCATTTCCCATCTGAGCGAGATTTTTAACCAGATACGGGAAAACAGAGGATGTTCTCTTCTGTGGAAGGAAATAACATCTGTTATCTGGTTTTTCCCACGTCTAAAACACTAGTTTTTCACAAAAATGAAGTAATATTTTGTGTCGATATTTAAACATATTTAATAAAAATTATTAAATGAGGCCTAGGGCCTTTCGGATCTCACATTACTCCCTTATCTTCAAAAATCACACTACATTTAAAGAAGGCGTGATTTTTCACTGCAATACATAAGTTCGAATTTCGCTCTCTCTCTCTAAAAATTGCGTTATACATAATAATAAAAAAAGCTTAAAAGTATACAATAATACAAATTAAATTCAAAATTGAAATACATGGAAATAATATAATGAACAATTCATCAGATCAATAATATTACTAAAATAAACACAATGAACACAGGTGTCTTCGTCTGGAATCGACGGTATAAGTGGACATAGTTCTGTCACCAGTGTGAGAGTCTTTGTGGCAGCACATCTGTTGGCTGACTTCTTATAGTTGCAAAAATTCAGGTGTATTAGAAGATCAAGTGATGTCTTCTTGTTTCCAAAAAGCACCTGCTAACAGTTTCAGAGTTCACTTTGCAGTTCAAAATGATATAATGTGTCTTCTTCCTGTATGTTGACACACTTCTTTTTCTGCTAAAATTTCATTTAACATAACCACAAAAGTTCAGGTGGTTGAGTTCCTTAAATGTTGTATGACTCTAGGGTCATTGAAATCCATTTTGGGGCGAAGTTCTTTTTCACTAAAGCATTCTCCTTTTTAAAGGTAGTATGTTTAACAAATACATGTCTCTATTAATGTCTCTCTCTCTCTATATATACTACACTAAGTCTTACCTCTAGACTATTCTATACAATATTATCTCTATTCTAATCAATCACTTTAGTTTATCAATTTGCATGGGGTGTACATTCCTTTAAATAAGCTTTTTGTTATTATTAGGAAAGGTACTTACAAACTAAAGACATATACGAACAAAAATTGACTATCAATAAATCGAATAAAAGTTCAATCCAATGAAATAATCATTCAAAGAAAATCAAGTAGAGATTAAAATCGAGGTGAGCGAACAATGGGCTTCTTTGTCTGTGTTGAACTTGAAGCTTGTTCAGTTGAGCTTACAACAGGTTCGACTAATTCCGGTTCCTCTTCTTCGGTATTATTTCTTTGAGGAATTTCTTGAAGTGGGATGTCCTGTTGTGACATTTTCTTTATCCGCTCTTCAAATCTTCGTTTCCAACAAATATGCTTGACTATATAAAATGCGCAGATAAATAGAATTAAGATTCCTATGCTTCCAAGGATAATCCATATATATGTGATTGGAATGGTTGGAGTGTATGAATTTGAAAGATCTTCATTTTCTTTCAATAATCTATCCAAATCTTTCTTCATTTGCTCATGATTTTTCTGCTACTTTAATATCATCATCTGTTTGCTTCTTAGGATTCTCCTTATTCTTCTTAGGTTCCTCCGTAGTATTTAAACTCTCTTGTAATTTCTCTAATTCCATCTTGGAAAATATTGTTTCAATCGGAGGTATAATAAACTTAGGACTGCTTCTTGTGCGAACAGTTGACCTCATGTGAAAATGTGAAGTGAGGATAATTCCAGGTAAGTATCCTATACATGTATTTGGCAATCGTATTATTCCAACATTATTCAATTTACTTATATTAGAAGGTAATGAATGCAAGTTATTTTGTTTAGCAGAGCATTTCACTGCTAATACTAGTGTAGAGGGTGTAGAAAATACCCATGTTCCTTTCTTGTCAAGTCTCTCAGCTAACTATTTATTTATATATAATCTGGATTAAGCGTACAAGTAGCTACATAGAATATCGAATATACATACAGTATATGGCGTATAACAAAAGCTAAACAAAACTCGATTGTAACAGTTTAACTATTGGCTAAGATCTTAGGATATGGCCGCCGAATGAGAGAGCTTACATAGATAGGCCTAAGTACACTACCTGGGACGTGGTGAGAACCTCGTCTTCTTTTAATGTAGACCTTTCATTTTATTCTGGGCCAAATCCTATCATCGGGCGGAAACTATTAGTATCTTCTGACACTGGGCTATCGCGTGGCTAAAGAGTCGGCTGTTAAGGGTGAATTCTTTTATAGAAAATATGACGACCCATCGGAAAATATGACGATGCGGGCATTTTCTGACCGTCTTTCGATTTAGCGGGAACTTCGACATCCTCCGAATCACAGGAAACGGGAGAGATGTCGAACTAGATAAGATTCTGCCTTTCCCGTTCATAAAATCGATCCGATTTTCTACTAAATTTCGTGTCCAAATTGATAATTCTTTTTAACTTTTAAAATGTTCCCGAGCCTCGGGATCTCTTATCTACGCGCGCGCGCGTTGCTTCGCCTTATCCATAGATCCAGTTATTAACCTCATTTACAATAAAATACAATAAGATTATAAGAAAAGAAAACCAATTTTTGGAACTTCTAATCCGGTGGGTCCCTTTCTTTTGCCAAAGAAATAAACCGATCAATCAGCTGGCAATTGCGCTTTCGTCCGAATTGACAAATTATTTCGTGTTTCCGCGAAATTCTTAAAACAAAAAAGTTATTACGAATCTTAATATGAGTGTCTTTTGTTGTAAATAAACCAAATCGTCCGTAAAGAAAAGTAATCAAATTTTATTGACGTATTCGATATTCAAAGGGAAATTTTACGGCAACGAAATGTTTCTTGTACTCGAAATTGTTCATTCAAATTTTGTGTTAATTTTATTAAATTATCTTCAAATTCCGGAAAGATTCTTGGTCCAGCATTCCAAACAGATAAACGATTTTGCGCCCCTCTTCTCCTTTCTCAGGCGCTTTAATAGTCCTTTACCGGAAACGTTCTTCTCGCATCGCCCGCATTTAACGATTTTCTTAAGAGTTGATCTTTTCTTTTTTCCGTTATTGATAGTCCTTTGGCATTTGTCCGCGTGATGACGTAATCGCGATAAAAGGATCACTTTTCCGCAGTAGTCACAGACGGCGTAATGGGTCGACGCGATACTCTCGATTTTCTCTATTTTATCTCCTCGCCGTTTAATGCGGAATATCGGAGATCTACAAAGTGGACACCGACGATTCCTCTGTTCCGCGGCTCTATTCATGCAAGATTTGCAGAACGCGTGTGCGCAACTGGTGGATACCGGATGGACGTAAACGTCCAGACAGATGGGACACGTCACTTCGGAAAGGTCTATAAGTTCTCGGTCGGCCATTTTTGTCTCCCGGTCTCTAAAAATGAATCGAAGGAGAAGATTGTTTCGCGATAAAATCGGGCGACGATCGTTTATTTGTTCGATTGTTTCGTATTCCAAACGTTTTATAATATAATTCGAACGTTGTATTAATATTTATTAAATTCGGATCCTTAAAATAAGGCATTTTACGTACTACTTTTATATAATTTTAGTTGAAATTTTCAAAGAAAACGATTAGTTACGTAAAATAATTTGTAAATGTAGGTAACAAGTTCGTAATTAATTATTTAAGATTATAAGCATTTAATTTGAATTTTAAAGTAATTAAATAATTTATTATTCTACTTGTTCTGCTTTTTCCGGAGTTTATCTTAAAAAATTAACCGTTACTTTGGTAGAATGATTTACGAATAAAATTAATAAAAGAGAGAGACGCACCAGGCACAGAAAAAGCTGTAGAATTTATTTTCCTTAAATTTACGATTTATGTATCCGTTCGTCGTAAAAGTTTGTCTTTCCACTTTTTCCCGAGACTACAAATATTCGAGTACAAAGTAACCGGTTTCGACTTATTTCTTGTTAAGTAGTAGTTAAATAATTAAGCGATTAGGGAATTGGGGACGTAAGGGTGCGACTATGCAGACGCGAATTTAGAGCGAGCGATTTAGTTTTCGCAAAGGAAAACCATGCACAAACGAGAAGCGAGAAATAACGCTGGCGAGAGCGAATTTTTGGTTCTCGCACATATCTGACAGGTTTTGATATTTATCGCGTCTCGCCTCTTCTCGCTCCCTCGCGTCTGCATAGTCGCACCCTAAACAAAACCCCGATGAAAGAGCCGAAATTTTACTTAAACGAAAGCGTAACCGAACCAATCTCTAGCCGAGTACGGTGGGGACTGATTTCTTCGAAATACTGTATTAGATGTAATAAAGACAGAAATTTTTCCAGTTCGACGAGAGTGACCGAAAAGTCGTAAATTTTGGAAATTTCCGTGGACGACACCCGGTCCTAAAACGAATTAGTTAGAAAACAAAAGACGGACAATCTATTAAGTTTAACGTATTTAGATTTTTAAAGCTATGGCGAGAAACGTTTAAAATTTACGACAACCCTGTCGCGTCCTTTGAGATATACTAGTGATGAGACAAAAGAGACATTAACCGGTATCGGCACCCTCGGGATTTGGCACGCGTGCACGCGCCGCACACCCACCGAGATCGTCTCCGATTCCATCCACGAGTCACCGATAGAGAGCACTTTTAACTAAGTGGATTGTTTTAATATTTAAAAAGTAAAGAATATCTTATGCTATTTTTATGTACGTTTCTTCACAAAACTATATTCACACAATCGAATATTTTGTACCGGGTATGTATAATTGTATATCCATCACATATTTTATTTTAACAAGTAAGTTTTTATAATTTTATTTTTAATTTTAGCCCTTATATCGGCTAGCGATTCGGAATGTAATCGCGATATTGAAAATTTATTTTAAAAATGTTTTGGCTCGAGATCGTATAACGAAAAAGAAAACGTTATTAAAAGAGAAAGGACAATGCCTAAGTTAAATATAAACGCTTCGATAAAAAAATTTGTTCGACATTTTCGCGATAAAATTTATGAAGGTATAAAATGGCTTTGTGGATGCATAAAAATGAAAATTGTTTTGTTGGCCAGGCCAACTATTTTCGAATAAAATTAGTGAGTGGAACGAGATTGGCTTTGACCATTTAAATAATTTGAGTAAAGCTGGCAAAAGACACGAAAATCCTAAATCTCGCATCGAATCTTTCGTAAAATTGAAGCAATTTCGAAATCAAAATAGAATAGAAATTAACATTAGTACGCAATATAAAATAAATATTGAAAATTTAATAGGATATCGAATAGTCCAGACTGTAAAAACAACAAATACTTATTTAATATCGTGTTAAATAGTATAAGATTTTAAGTTAGGTTGAAAATACTCAGGAATTGTGCCTTACGTTTGAAACGAATTGAAGCGCTTGGAACGATTAAGAATAGAAGAATGCCGGTAGGGCAAAACAGTACTTTGCCGTAAACGAAGTGGTGTACGCAGTGCTCGGATCGAAGACGAAAGAGCATAGAGGAGATACGATTCACCATTGTGTTTAAAAATGGCGATTAGGAAGGACTTTATTCATTGATCTTTAAAAAAGTAACGTTCGTAATTGGCCGGCGTCGGAAGAATTAGACGCGACTTCGGTAAATGACACTTCGGCCAGTGTGTCCGCTGCCACCCGGAAAAGCTGAGTCGCGGTGTGACCTACTTTTTCTGAAATCAACATTAGAATCAGTGGCGTGCCGTGACATTTGATGAGAGGAAAGCCGTGTTTCTGTAAGAAGCCGATTTCCAGGGGCAATCAGTTAATTCTTTAAATGTATCTTTAATAGATTATTTATCTGACGTAATTAATAAATAAACAAGTTCAATATAATTACCTCTAATTACTTCAATATAATTATCGAAGCGAAAATCGGCATTTAGAGGGCATAGATTCTTTATGCCTTCTAAATGCCGATTCTCGCTTCGATAAAAACATATAAGATCTATTAATTTAAATATACCTATGCCATGTTAAATTCTATTCCGCTTTGATTTCCAAATTGCTTCAAATACGAAAGAATCGACGATTTTTCGTGTCTTTTGCCAGCTAAATTGTCAAAGCCATTCTTATTCCACACACTAATTTCATTTGAAAATAGTAGGCAAGCCAACAAAACAATTTTTGCATTTTTATGCATCCACAAAGCCATTTTATATCTTCATACATTTTATCGCGAAAATGTCGAACAAATTTTTTTTATCGAAGCGTTTATATTTAACTTATGCATTGGCCTTTCTCTTTTAATAACGTTTTCTTTTTCGTTATACGATCTCGAGCCAAAACATTTTTAAAATAAATTTTCAATATCGCGATTACATTCCGAATCGCTAGCCACGATATAAGGGCTAAAATTAAAAATCTAAATATATAAAATTGCTTGTCCTGACTGAATGACTCACTGATTGATTGATTCATCATCGCCCAGAGCAAACCGCTGAACCTAGAGGTGAAATTTGGTACACAGTTAGGGTACATCATGAAAACGATCACTAAGAAGGGATTTTTCGAAATTCCCCCGCGGGGGGAGAGGGAGAGGATTAAGTCTTAACCGGAAAAACGGCTTCTACTGTACTACATTAGATGCGATTTTTTGTTTATATCTGCGTTTTAGTAGGGTATACCACGGGAATGCACACTAAGAAGGGATTTTTCGAAACTAAATTAGAAAGTAACACTTCAACCAATTAGAAAGAAAGTTAACTGTTGTCCAGATACAGTATTTTATTTATATTTGTAATATATATTTTTAATTGTACCAACACAAAGGAATTTTATTATTATTTTGTGTATCAACGCTGAGGAGAGTTTGAAGATTGACTCTGCCAAAGCAATTGTCACATTATTGTCAAATTCCAAAGGTGTGAATTAGGAGAAAAAGTTAAAGACACTTTTATTTTTTATTTTAGTGTTTCTTCCGTGTGTGATAAGAAAGTAATGATTAGAAAAATAATTAAAAAAAAACTAACTAATACTACAGAATAATGGAAGGTATAGCTTTGTATTTGATAGAATAAAAATATTGGTTGGAAAATGAAGAAAATATAAGAAAAAGTATGATATAACTAACAAAGAAAACGTTTTAAAGAAATGTAAATAATATTTTCTACTTTTCTGTGGCAAAAATGAAACAAATTTATGAATTAAAATACATGAAAAATCTAAGATGATGATAGAGCAATAATAAACAAACAGAAGAAGATAGAGGTATCCAAAGTTTTCTTGCTATACCAGCTTTTGCAGATTTCTTGAAAGTCTCACTTCTCTTGATATTGTCTTTGTTAGTATAGGTTCTCTGGCAAAAGCCATTGGCTTAAAGAAAAACTGCCTCGGAGTAACATTTGCCAATTATTGAAATCCACCAACAGAGGGACCAGTTATCATATTTTTAAACTTTCACAAATGGCACAAAATAATTCTCTTAAAAGACAATAATGTTGACCAATAAAAAAAAATGCAAATAAAAGAGGAACTATAAACCAACCAACTGACCTCTTTTCTGTCTGCACAGATGGTTCACTTATGAGGATAACCCACAACTAATTACCAGTGTTTAGTGGTTTTATCTACTCAGTCACTGGTATGATTCAAAACATGAAAGGAGAAAATATACAATTTTTTGACTGGATGAGATAAAAATTAAGTTAACTATATTTTGTGAAAGGACAACTTGACAAAAGAGAAAAGAATTTAGGAAGAAATTTTATGATAAATCAAAAATTGGGATAACTTACTCTGAACTGAAGACCAGAGCAGAGGGATAATTGGAACCAGAGCAGTTGGAGAAGAGGAATTTGAACCTAGAAGCCAAATCAAGTAACCAGACATTGTTGCATTTTTTCAGATTATTTATAGGTTAAAAATACTTGAAGTGGATGCTCAAAAAGCATCTATATTTGTGAATATACTGAGGAAAAGGATATAAATTAACAAAAATTAAAACTGTAAAATTACTGTTAAAATTATTTACACAGTATTTGTTCCCAGTGAGATCAGGAGAAAAGCTGTAGAGTGATTTAATATTGTAATTCGATTGCAGTTCACCTCTTCCATCTGACCTGGAATATAATTTAATGCAAAATGTGAATATGAATAGAAAGCAAATAAAGGAATTTCAGGAAACATTTCTTTAAATATGCAACTTGCGAGTGATATTTCTTCATAAGGTGGAGACATATCCCTGTTGCCAAATATAAATGCTAGGCATATGTTAAATATATTACTTTCTTTCAATTTTTTAAACTTTTCTTGTATAAAATCCTTGTCGTCATTTTTAAGAATTAGCGAAGAGGCTCGAATATGTTTACCAGAAAATGCAATACCCATGCACTGTTTTGAACCACTCTTACAACTTAGTGTTGCACCGGCAACTGCCATTTCTTTATTTTGTCCAGATAACCAAGATAAAATTCTTTTTGTGCCTCTAAAGTCATCAAAAAACAACAATAAGCACTTTATGTCTTCTTCAGAAGGAATATTTGCCATCTTCAAGAAGTCATTGTATGCTAAACTTTTAATTATGACTCCTGCACAAGGAAAATTAAATGAATGTATCTTTATTCCAGGCACGTATGGAATGATGATAGCCGTCCTTCTATAGAAGTTAATCCAAGTAACAGGAAGCTTGTGTATGTCTGTTAAGAGTGAATAAATTGTACACTCGGACAAGCTATCCCCTGAAATAAAATAAACTATTTGTTATATTTGTGTATGCTGCTTACATTTGTATTCTCAATCAAGGATTAAGAGCCAGAGTTGAGAGTTAACATTTTACTTTATATGAATACTTGCTAGTTAACTTCTGACTAACTCTTGATCTTTGTTTGTGAATACAGATTTAGAATTAAATACTAGAAATACTGGTATATACTTACAAAATTTTGTTTCATTTTCGGTAAGTAAATTGTGACTGCAACATAAGTTAGTTTTCCTCTCGCATCCTTCACATTCCACAATTCTTACATCAAAGTCACATAGATCCATGACAAAACCAACCTCAGAAGGGCTGATTATTTCACAATTGAGCCCAGACGGTCTGTCAAATGAAGGAGAATATCTGCTAAGTCCAGTAGCAAGATCATATCCAATACAGTAATCATATCTCTAAAAGATAACAACATACAAGTTATACATTTTGACTAATAAAATAAGTTATGAGACTATTTCATTCACAAATAAATTGAGAGCAGAAAGAATTTACAAGTCAACCTCACCAAGAATAAGAAAACCACTTTTCTCCTCTTACTTAATATGTCTTCCGAAACCTTCTTCCAAAGAATGCATACCCAAGCACATTGGTCCAATTCCGGACAACTCAAATTGCTCAAGATGCATTTGACAACTAGATAAGCTGTCGACATAATAATTCCAAACTTCTCTAAAACTTGAGTGTCGACATTATTTGTGTGTATCTGTTTGGGGCTTTCTTGACTCTCCTTCTTTGATTCTATTGATTTTCTAACTAAAAAGATATGAAGAAAATTGTGTAGGTGTAATTAATTTTACTCTTCATTTACAAATGCAAACTACACATACATAAACCTTTTACACTTAATAATCAAATTAAGAAATGGAACAAGAAAGTGACTTCAACAAACAATGGAAACTATAAACCTTGAAAACTGACAGAGTTACATCCTGAGCTATTTTTATGCCAATTAACTAGAAATATAAACTGATAGTTGGTGCATGCCTTGAAAATATTTTGTTATAATATTTTATTCCAATTTATCAACAATTTTATACTACTAATGACATGTCACATCTGAATCAATTGAATTTTTGATTAATATTGAAGCAAGAAAAAGTTAGAGAACTTCTATTGATACAGTTAGAACTATGGAATAAAAGTCAAATAAAAAACATTGTTGACAAACTTTTACTCATTATGGGCCTCCATTAATTATGTGTACTTTTATCTACCTTCTTCCTCCTTGTGTATAACAACATAAATTTTGGCAAACCCACTTCCCTTGAATTACATGTATAATAGTTATTGTATTTCCTGAAATTGAAGAAATGACTTTAAAAAGTTCTTTAAAAAGAGTTCAGACATTGTTTACATGGATAGAAAATCATAAAAATAATGCTTCAACCCATTCTCTCCCTATTATATACAAAAATATACTTTTTGTGGCTCCTCTCCATCTTAAACTGTAAACATAATGAATGACGCCCAAAGTGTAAAATTTTACGTCTTTTTTTTTCCTAAAAATTATTTTTAATAGGTAATTTATGGAATTTATCTTTTAAAATAATTTAATTTATACTGAAAAGAAATACTTCTTACATGTAGTATTTACTTTAACACACAAAATTATTCAACAACTTTAGCATAATGATAACTAAATATTAATTGTTAAGATCAGAACAATGATAGACAACCTAAATAACTCAAAAAGTAATGGACAAAAAAAATGTGAAAATGTCAGTAATTCATTATTAAAGAATGAAAATACACCAAAATAAAAAAGATTATGCATATGAAAATTACCTGAACAACAATGCGATATTGGAGACAATTTATCTTAAAATTAAATATCTCCATTTGAAATATTGGTGACTTAAATATAAACAGAAGAATATCAATTTCTCAGTTACGATATTTTCGGATGTCTTCGTTTCTTCGCTGTAAAAACATATTAAAACTTAAACTCAAAGTGACCCAAATATTTGATATTCAAAAACCACTACATAGCCACTTTCTTACAAGTTGCTATAATGAAACAACACATGCCATCAAAAATGCTATAAAAGCAGAGAAAAATACCACTACAACACTTCCAACATTACGAGCAACAAAACAGAAATTACTATAAATATATAAACACACATACACACACACACATGTACAAACAACAATCACAGTAGAGTAACACAACACCAAAATTTCTTGCAAAAATACACCAAACTTATAACTAGTAAGAACAGCTGTACTTATTTAACTTGCAACTAAACTATATTTAGAATTGTTTTATAGAAAATTAATGTGCATTTTCAACATTATATATCAATTAATAATCTTTAAAAGTTTCACTTTATCGAATTAGTGGCAAAGTTCCCATACAGCACAGCTCATCTCAATATAATAAAATAAATAGAAGAAGAAAGCATAGTAACATAATCACATGCCATAAAATAGAATAGTCAAAATACAGAAATTACATCAAATTTTACATTAACATGATAGTATATACGAAGATTTCAAATGCAATTCCAGATATCAACAAATACATAAAGGATGTAAATTACTATATTATGCATAGTATGTGTATTATATATTTTAATAAAAGATGTCACATTAAATATAAAACTGAAGGGAAATAATTCTCCATTCAATTGCATTTACAACATATCATCTATTATTGCATATAGCTGTATTGGAGTCATAATTTTTTACAGCAATACTTTAAAGTAGACATTAACCTTGTAAGTATTGCTGCATAGCAGTTTTTTTCAACCTTTTTAATATCATGGCACACTTGAACCTATAATTAAATTTCCGCAGCACATTTAAATTACAATATGCAGTGAAAAAATCATGTGATTTAATGTTGTGTTTGTAAACATTCTATTACCATATTACTTGCCAATAACCTAAATCTTTGTCTATATGTTTTGCAAATTAAATAAAACATTGTTGTTCCTTAAAATAGCAACAGGTTATGATAATAGTTAATTTTAATTAAGAATTTTCATTTACATAAGATAAGAATAGCAATTAACATTAAAATTTGAATTTACAGTGGCATGATAATTGCCTTTAAAAACCAGCCCAATGTCCTGCTATTTCTAAATTAAAATAATTTGAACTAAATATGGATATTAAAAACAAATGTATTGTCTCCTCAAGAATTTTCTTCATTTTTGTAAACTTAAATTCATCCTGGCTAATTTTTATTAAATGTGTTTATTTAATTTTTATGATTGTGCCACTGCTAGAGGGATATTTTTTTTAACTTTTTTACATTTGGAGGCAGTTGAGTAGCCTCAAATCAAAGGTCAACTCCAACATAGAATTGTTATTTCCTCATGTGCATTTGAAAGGACTAAGTGAAAAGACACATCTTGTATGTATTATCTCCTCAAGAATTTTCTTAATTTTTATAAATCTAAATAGGAACAATTAGGCTATAGATACATTTTTGAATTAAAGAAAATTTCATTTCAAATGAAATAACTGGATGTTATGCATATATAATTTTGCTTGGGAATATATATTTTTTACTACATTATGCATACATTTATTTATTACAACAATGAAAAACTTGCAAAATCAATTTAAAGATGTTTTAATTTTGATATGTATACTTATTGTTCTTTGCGCTTTTTTCAAAAATAATTTATTCACTAACCTTCAAAAATTTTCATGGCACACCTACGATCCTCTCAATACACACCAGTGTGCCGCAGCAATAGTGGTTGAAAATTGCTGCTGTATAACAATACTAAAGTTTTTATGACTTAAATTTAGTTTATGCACATTAAGTTATAAAATTTCAAAATTCTAATAATATATGTTATTATATTTGTTAATATATACAAATAATTTAAAAATGTATATATTGTATTTCAAAAAACTGGGTACTTAATTATATAACACTCACCAAATAAACCATCACCAGTTCATAACCAAACAGAAAAATTCTTTCTATGAACGTTTTCATCTATATGTAATAGACATCCTCAGGTATTGACAATATCGAACTAACGGCTAGTAGAATAGAATGTTTTTGAGAGTTCCGTTTAACTATGTAATTTGAATATGTTGCGTTAAAATTGAAAATATGTAAAATATTTGAAACATATCCGAATAAATAATCAATTGATTTCACGTAGATCATGACGTAACTATCCTCCGTAATTTAAAATATCTTTGATGTGCGTTTCAATCATTGGGATCTAATTCAAACATGGTGCGCCATGCTGCGCAAAGCGTATCGGTTTCTTTGAAATTAATACCGACCCCTTTTTTAATTGCCTTATATATCTCCAGCGATTCGATGTTTGAGCGATGTTTTTATTATTTGTAACGCAACATGGATACCCGTACTCTTTGATCAAGCATCTCATAAAACAATACATAAATAAGAGGGAAAGGAATATGCCACAAGACGAACTGATGAGGGTTATCACATACAACAAAACACTTTCTAATATATATAGAGAGATTGCAAGGACTACTAAAATACACGTAGCATATCGACACTCTCCTACAGTCTTCTCTCTTATCAGAAATGATAAAAACTGTATAAAAGATTCTAACTCTCCAGGGGTTTATGTGGTTCCTCTTCAAGATCACTGGGTTAACCATGCTTTAACGTACATTGGAGCAATGGCAAGAGGTCTTGTCATGAGGATGAAAGAACATGAATATTCGATAAGAAAAAAGCTGACCATGACGGCACTAGCGACATATGCAAATAATGAGGATGTTCATGTTGATCTACAAAATGCTAAATTGCTACACAAAGTATCGGATAAGGCACAACTCAAGTACCTCGAATCGCTGGAGATATATAAGGCAATTAAAAAAGGGGTTGGTATTAATTTCAAAGAAACTGATACGCTTTGCGCAGCATGGCGCACCATGTTTGAATTAGATCCCAATGATTGAAACGCACATCAAAGATATTTTAAATTACGGAGGATAGTTACGTCATGATCTACGTGAAATCAATTGATTATTTATTCGGATATGTTTCAAATATTTTACATATTTTCAATTTTAACGCAACATATTCAAATTACGTAGTTAAACGGAACTCTCAAAAACATTCTATTCTACTAGCCGTTAGTTCGATATTGTCAATACCTGAGGATGTCTATTACATATAGATGAAAACGTTCATAGAAAGAATTTTTCTGTTTGGTTATGAACTGGTGATGGTTTATTTGGTGAGTGTTATATAATTTATATATTACTTTATAGTCTGCATATTGTGCAATGTGATTTTCTGTTCATGCTATTTTACAAAAGAATTATAATTAATGAAAGTCTTTTCAAACTTTTTGCATTAGAAACTGGTTTGATCATCATTAAATTATTTTTAAAAATGTCTATAAGTAGCTGCATAAATTTATTTTAAAGATATGTTTACTTCTATAAAATCAATCATGTTACATGCTGTTTAGTAATCATAGTATTTAATGGAAGGCAGAAATGATATTTAAATTTCCTTTTTGGTTTTACAGATTAAAACAATATAGTTTGCTAGCCAGCTTCTAAATTTTCTATTGTGATTAATAATTACAGATACTAATGCTTAATATAGTAACTTATAATCATATAATTACACAGTTACTGACATATTAAGAGAAAAAGAAACACTTACAACATCATTAAAGTGCAACAAGCAGATGAATACTTCATCATGACAAAAGATAAATTATCAAAAACAAAATACAAGGTAACCCAAAAGCCAAATAACCATTGTAAATACTAAATGTCCATTAATTAACTAACAAATACAATTAATTCAATTGCATATTGTATTTTCATCATTTTTGTTAAAGAAAAATGCTAAATCTGAACTCAGTTTATGATTCATGTACATGTGTACTGGAAATACACACAAGGAAACATGGTTAATTGATTTTCAGATCACCTTGTATACATGTTATTTATAATATTTTGTTTAGTTTTATTAAAAATAAATATAATATAAAATGAGAATTATTTCAATTAGTGTCATAAATTAAGTTATTACAGCAAAATTTCTTATAACTTGGAAGTTTATATATATTCTGATAGAGTGTAAACACATATGTTCCTATTTTATTGGAACAAAACATTTTTTAAATATAGTAATTTCATAGTACTTTTTAGCTTCATCTCATCTTCAGTGATTCATACTTACTGTCAAATGCTACATTCAATTGCATCTATGGCATGATAACTAAAGATAACTGATGATGCATGGAAGTACTAGCAGAACTATTTAAACCTGTTTTTGTGCTCCAATGAAATAGGAATTGGTGTGATTATACTTTATCAAAAATTGGGGATTGTCCATAATGTACATATTATTATTTTTATACTTTTCAACTACCATCCCACCTACTGTAATGCTCTGTAATACTGTACCCCAACATTATATAATGGATAGCTTTGATCAATCCCCATAATTATACTAAGGAATAATACACAGCATAAGGTACTGAATGCTGCATTATTTTTACTTTCATGTTCATTTTTGGCAAATAGACACATTTAACTAATGACACTAGTTGATTTAATAACTGGCATTATGTAATGTTTTTGTAAACATTTCCTATCCCTTGTAATGATTCATAACTGTAATTAACATACCACCTTATATCTCTCCTTACTACCACCTTGGACAAATGCAACACTCCTACCCTCAATTTGCCCAGTGTATGGGTCACATTGTATAAGCAGTTAAGCAACTATTAGCATTCTCCAATATGCATATAGCGTGAGCCTGGATCCACACATGCACCGCTTCTCATGTCACAGAGCTTACTGCTCGTTTAGTTTTCGAACATATTTGAATATTTGTTGTGTGTTCTTAACTGCTTTGACAAAAGTTTCAACTTAAAAATTTAAGCATTCTATTCTATATCGGATTATTTCTGTTTAACTTTTTTGGTAATAATCTGTATTCGCCTGATGATGACGACTATAAGTTCCTTGAAAGTGCTTTTGATAATAAACATATACGTAACACTGAACTCAGTGTCTTCTCCATTTTATTTTATTAAACATAACATCCTTCCAAAAAAACAATTAATTTTTTAGCTTGACTTATCCAGTTTGTCAATAGACAAATGGCAGGATTTTCCATTGCATCAAAGACAGAGAAACTCAGAACAAAGGCAGAGACAGAGCAAGGGGAATACTAACTGGTCAATAGTGGTCAAGCTGAATATATGGGAATATATGCTTTGAGGAACTTCTTGATGAGGAAAGGCAAGCAATAGTGGACCCAAACTCAGAGTCCAGCTTTATAAAAAAAAAAGTACTGCAAGTCCACATGGAACTAAAAAGTTATGGCTAAAAAAAAGACTTGTTACTTGTAATCAAATCTATTTATAGTTAATTCTATATAAACTTTTTTGTGTGATCCTCTGATAGTATGTCCCCACATGAATTTTACTCTTCCTCTTGAGAATTACAGGAAACTTGGAACACCATAAACTTTATTGTAATATTTACCCACCCACCAACATCTACATCATGTAATTTATGGACAGTCCCTTGGAGATTAATGTTGAACATCCTGATATATTTAAAACACAAATGCTATTTGTATTTAACATAATTTATTAACAAGTTACAAATAATTGATGTTCATTCCAGCTTACAAATTAAAGAAACATTTCATTAAGTGGTAAGCTTGAATAAATTACTAAAATTTGGCTATCAGGCTCCAGAATTACAAATGAAATTCAAATGCATGTACTTACTTACAAGTTATTTAATAATTTATATTCTGAAAAAATTTGGAGATATTCTTCTCTGGCTTCAGAAGCTTCATCATTCTTTATATATCTGATAGTTACAGAAAAATTTTTTAAAAATAAAAATTAAAAAATAAATCATTTCTTCAAAATTTTAAGCATAAGGATATAAATCTTTGAGTATTCATTTTTAGAATGATTCAAATACATATAAACAGGTGAACCCATAAATCAGTTAACCAGTCTTAAAAACATCTCAGTTAACTGGCTTTTGAGCAGTCTGTATATACTGTTTTAAATCTTCCAAATAACTTTAAAAATTAAATTAAAAAACAGAAAAACAGAAAATACTTTTTAAAAATTCATAAAAATTTACTTAATCATACAAAAATTATATTATTTCTATAAAAAAAAATTAGCATATTTGATATTAATTTTAAATTAATTCAACATAAAGATGCTTCTCTCTTTTTAGAAAGAAGAATTATTTTACATATTTATTTATTTAATTATATGGAAAGTAGTGATGTAACAAATATTCGGTTACTATTTGGTATTCGGCCTATTTTTCGCTATTCACCCGATTACCGAATACCTAAAAACAGGAGTAAGAAATAACAAAAACACAGTAAATTAATCATTTCGGTATTTAGATTTAATGTTGTTGGGTTAGTGTTGTTTGTTTATATTTATTTCTAACTTATAACATGCACAAAATAAAAAAAAATAATATTAGTCACACGTATTCACAATTTATAATTACAAAGATCAGCACACGTACACACCTATTTGTTCGAGAATTGTCGCACACATCCGAGGGTCTGACCCTGCCTATCCTTTTCAAGCACTCGTCTTTGCTCTTTCCTTTCTCTTTCCTCCATCTCTCTAGTCCACGTATGCCCATGCATACATCATAATATGCGCTCACGAAACTTTCGATTTGTCACTTTTCCGTTGTAGTTTTTCCATTTTATAATTACGTGACTCATAGCCTGGTGATAACGGAGAAGAGAGACATATAGGATGTTGGTATCTGTCACAGTTATGATTTCACAGATTCGAGACAGCTTGGTAGCTCGAATGGTTCCAGGCTTTCGCCCATGCATGCTAAGTGACTTTCATTACAAGCATTTAGCTTTCTGAAGTCTACGACAACAATTGTTTGGCATCGACGGCTGCAAATTTTGCGCCAATAAGCTGCTTTGACTCGTTCAATTATGTTATCGACTCAATTTCATATTTATTTTCACATTTTCACTTTGCGATCCTTCTCTGTTCTTTTCCCATTATTTACCGTAGGTCATTTCATTGTTATTCACATTTGATATCATTATTTATCACATACTGCCATGACGCTCTTGTCTGTCCGCTACAACTGTCAAGAATTAATGTGACTGGCAAAGCGTAGTGACAGCAAGCCAATAGAGAGCAAGGTCCTTGCCATAATGTGGTTTGCACACCAATTTTTGTACATGCGTCAATTGAGCTGAATAGTTTGGCCAAATATTTGGCTATTCAGCCACAATCCTGGCCGAATATACTATTCATTGCAACACTAATGGAAAGTAATGGCAAACATGGAGACCAAGATTATATAACCAAGGTGGCCAAGCTCCTTGATAGTCCGAGCCATTTTTCAAAATTTGAAATTTTTTGCAAGCCGCAATTAAATACGTATTAAAAAGGTATGCAAAAAATTTCAGATTACAAATTGTATCCGTAGCAAGAGTGATACAAATTGTTTCCTCCAGAGCACAATGTCAACTGTCCATTGCAATGACAGTTTACAAATTCAAAATCGGTCTGGAGTCGGTCGATAACGGACGATTACGCCACTGTTTATATTCGTTTGCGCAGTTTTTCATGAATCATATCATTCTTAACTTGGACGGAAATGAAATTTGTTACAACGTTGCACTTAGTCTTTCATATTTGTTGTTAGTAATTTAAAAGACATTTTGAAACACATACGGAACGATAACAATTTTTTAAAATATAATAACACAAAAATGAAAAGGGAACTCGGGTACATTTATCGAGAGCCACAAATAATCCTTCAAAGAGCCGCATGTGGCTCGCGAGCCACAGGTTGGCCACCCCTGTTATATAACAATATCCAAAATGGACAACTAATCAATAGCAGCACTACTCATCTGTGATGGATCTCATCAGGGTATCAGAAATTCTCCCAAACAATATAGTAAATTGTCTGAGAGGTTTTTATTTCTATATTTATTTTACTTGATTTCCTATAATGAATAGGAAGACATTGTAAAATCTACACTTGTTTATATACTAATCTTTGTAAAAACTTTATATCATCATGATTATACAATAGACCTGTATACTTCAGTTACAATACATACACAAGGCACACAAATGAGGAAATATAAAACAATAAAAATCTAATGTTCTCAATCTAGTCCATAGAGCATCTTCAGGATTCAACTTTTAGAATAGAATTGTTTGAGTTACATTAAATATTTGAAAATTGTTATGTCTTAAACAAGTAAATGTTATCAACATATATATTAGGAAACCTAATATGCACAAGATTATGAAAATAAACTCTATCTAAGGATAAAAATAAAAAATAAATCTATGATAAAATTTTTCCCAGAAGATATCTAAGTTGTGCTCTTAGTGCTAGTTAGTAAGAATGTCTGTCTTGGGAAGGGTTTCTGCATCTTTTGCATTTAGGCATAATTCCCTTAATTTCACCTAAATTTTTCAATCCTTTTGCCTCTTGCTGCATCTTGGGACAATCTGATATTCCTGATTATTCTATCTTGATTCTACAAGTTTTGTGTATCATCCGCACTTATTATTCCACACTACATTATTCTTACCCATGCATGAATCATATTCATGTTTATACATCTTTGCACAAGGTACCTGAATAACCCAGGTAGTTTGTATCCATCTCGAGTTAAAAATAACAAACTGGGGTGGATACACTAACTCAACTATACTCTGTCTAACTCAACTATAAATCTTACAATTTGTATAAAAGATACTTAGATCCATGGCTCTACCTAATACATCCAGAGCAGAGATGCTTCATTTCTCACTATTCATGTAAATGTATAATTAATTGGGATCACAGTTATGGTAATAATCTGTTGTACTAACAGGTGTCGTAGAATGCTACAGCAACAGGGATCACAGAGTAACCAAATATCAGCAAATTGCATCACTTAAATCATTGCTAAGATGCAATAATTGGCTGAAAAGATAATATTTTATGACATATGTGATCAACAAATTAATGGAATAAATAAATAAAAATATTTGTATTTTGTAGACAAGAATGATTAAAACTGTGTCTTATACATATAACAATATAACTGAAGATTTTAAGAGAATTTTTAGCATTAATAAATCAAAAATAATGTTTTTACTTATAAAACAGTAAATTGTAACAAGTATAGTTTTACAGAAATGTATTTCAACTTTATAAGTTTTGTTAGCCTCAAAATGTAATTACTTACATAAAAATTCAATTATTTGTAACTTAGTTACAATTATGCATAGAAGTTACTATCAAGTCATGCATATCTATATACAGTATATACCATATTACTATATGTATACAGTATTACAGTATATAGTGCTTACAGTACATATATGCATACAGTATCCCTCGCTTAACACAAGATTAGATTAATGCACAAAATTAATTGCAGCAATCCATTTATATATGCAGCGGAAGTTTTAATTTACTTAGCTTTACTTGGTGGAGACACCGATCAAGGGATTAATTAACCTCATTAATCAAGGAATACCCAAACTAAATGTATTCACACTACATGCATATATACCATATTCGGTACAATTATATTTCTAAATAGGACAGTTGGGACCCTACCGGAACCTTAGATCATACCCATAACAACAAAAAAGCGAAGGGACTCGTACCCTTTATTTGCAACCCTCGACGAGATGTAGCTCCTCGAAATTGGCCTACTTCCAAATCGCACGCAATTGGGAGTCGGCGCTCCGCCAAGACTATCACATTTAACTACTCCCTAGACGACCGTGCCAGCTTCGAGTAGTAGCCCAATCGACCATTCTCGGAGTACTCGACATCATAATATCAATAGTTTAGAAGGCGTGGGCCTTCACCCTCACACGGGTGCTTCGGTGCTTGTCGTCGTTTGCACCGAAGCACGTGACTACACTCTGCATCAATCGAGGCGAGCGATTGCGAGCCTCAATTGACGCAGAGCACGGAGACTAGGCAGTACACCTGTTTCTCATTATTACCGACCTTTGGAGGCAAATATCTCGCAAAGGATTGCATGTACAAGTACAGTTCTATTAATTTTTTTTTACTCATACAGAGGGTCAAATTCCTCATTCAGAATTCATTTTACCCAGTATATATAATATATATATACACTATATACACTACATTTACATATGAACACGTATATGTATTATAAATATATGCTGTATACATATACTATATATATATAGTAAGTACAGTACATAGGGGTACCTTCTACTTAACTATGTTTATGCAATTAACTATAAAAAGATGCGTTGATTGAGTTAATTTGAAAGAATTTCTGCACCTCGTTTATTTTTTCTACTTCTTTTTCTTCCCATTTTCTTCTTTTAGGCTCGAAATTACAGATACTTTTAATTATTTGCGACAGAAATGCAAGTTTCTTCGCAACCTTAAGACGAAATTCTGTAGCAGAAGATATGCAGACGTGATAACCACCTAGCGGATAAATTCCGCATTTTGCCGCATATATTTTTTTAATTTAAATATTTTAATTTCAGAAGGAGGCATTTTTTAAATGGAAAATACTTTTAAAAATTAAGAGATTTAAAGTAAAATATTATTCTTCAATTGAATAATTAAAATTTGTACATTCTGAAATTAAGGTTTAGCATTAGTCATCTTTATTTTATTCTCTTCGTCCCGTATACCCTAAGGCCTTTATAACAAGCCCATTACGCGTTCGGCCGAGCCTTCAATGGGGGCGACCGAGTGGTGAGAAAGGGGGCCCGATGTATCAGAATGGATCGCCTTCCGAAAAACTTCTGGGGTTATTCGACTCGTCTGGCTTCGCTCCCGGGTTCGTCAGAGCGGTAGGCTGCTACCTTAACTGACCATCCGGCCGTAAAGTTAATCGTCCGTCATATAACTACGTACTTTACAGATTAGCAAAAATAAATAATTAATTTTATTTTCTTTTTATTGATTTTCATTTGATTCTTTTATAGAATAAATTATTATTAACAGTATTTCCAGTTAAAAATATTTCTTCGTTAGCCATCAAACACAGCCGCCAAGTAATTGATTTTCAAACAATAAATCCAAACGAAACCAAAACGGCGCCATTTCTTAAATTTTTATATAAAGGCCATTATTTTAACACTTCAATTACATGTTAAAAATTGAAAAGTTTGCAAACGCCAGTGTTGTCACCAGGCCACATTTTAAATTCGTGGTCCGGATTAATTATTAATTTGTCCGGTTTTCGTAGAAAATGTGAAGTTATAACGAAACAAATTTATAAAAATATTTGCATTTTATTTTAACGGCTAAAGACTAACTTCACACTCCCCACCCAAACTTGCCTCTGGGCTGAGTGGCAAAAATGTACTTTAATTCAAACCAGTCAGGGACTTGTGTTGGAACAAACGTATTGTAACGCCAATGTGAGTTTCAGATTACAAGTTCACAATTTCTATTTTAATTATTTAATATACTCGAGTAAAACCCAAAAAAGAAAAAGCGAACTTGTAAATTTAATAAAGATTGGCTGACACACAACGAATTTCAAAAATAGTTACCATCTGTTCGAGACGCGTTGCCACTTTGTTTTCTTAATTAGGGCAACGATACACTCGCGATCTGGGAGGTCTTTTTAAACTGTTACAATCGAGTTTTGTTTAGCTTTTGTTATACGCCATATACTGTATGTATATTCGATATTCTATGTAGCTACTTGTACTGTACGCTTAATCCAGATTATATATAAATAAATAGTTAGCTTATTAAAGGAAATTGTTGCGCTTAGTAGAGAAAATGGAAATAATCTAGCGCTTATTTAAATGGAAATTCGTTTAATTTAAAACCTTTTATATAAGTTTTATTCGTGTAGAAATATAAACAATAAAGATTCGAACAAATATGAAAATTCGATTTTCTTTTGTAAACTTGAAAAACGCATAAATTATCTACAGTAAATTGTTATATCGTTACAATAATTATTAAAAAAACAAATAATATTTTGAAAAAATTGTAATTAACATTATTTGACAATTTTAAATAATATGCGTGTTGTTTGCACTTTTATTCGAAAGAGCATTTTTAAAGTGTACGTTAAAAAACGACTTATTATTTTTTTAATGTTGTGGCATTTTTTTAAATGGATGTCCTGATTTCAATTAAAAAATCCTCGCAGTTTTGTATCTTTTTCGTGCTTTTAGCGGTATAAACTAGGGAACATTGTTGTAATTACACAGTGATACTAATGATTTTTTATTTGTATCTACATCAATTACATCTTTGGAGCAGATTCGAAATATTCGTTACATATTTTCTCGTTCGCTCTTACGTTCGATAATATTCATTACTATTCTCATAAATCTCCACTTAGATTTTACAAATACGTGAGCCGTTCACAGCCCAGCACACGTATTTGTAAAATCTAAGTGACTCGTACAACATGGAATTCATATAAAACGGAATATTCAACAGTGTTATAGGGGTAGACTGTAGTTATATTGAAGTAAGTACAGTCCACCCGCGACGAATAACTTTTATATTTCTCGCCAGTGACCGAGATGGACGCGAGTTCGGGTCTCACCGACGGGATGTCTACTTGACCCATTACGTTCTTTTGCTTCGACTACCGCGCTTACTCTAGCAAAGAGAAAACTTTCGCCGTTAGAATTACTTCGTAAAGAAAACGAAGATCGATGTTCGTCCTCTCTGGTAACGGGAAAAGGATAAAGGTCATTATCGTATTTAACGATACTAAAAGTAAGCAAAACTATAGCGATATATAATGGAATTTGTATCGATTACTCCCACAACCACTTAAAGCCTCGAAATAAATGTCAGAATAGCCTGTGAATGAAAAAATACTCTATTTGGAATTACGTGAGGAATTCCGAGGCTCGAACTCGAAGGAGCACTCAATGTACTGCAAGTAATGTACAGTACGGAACTCGAAATCTATGCCGTGGCCGAGGAACTAACGAACCAAAATGGCGACTCCGTAAGAAACATTGGTGTCCGACCTCGTGTTTATAGACCTGGTGACGAATTCCCGACAACTTATTCTTCTGGCGGAAGATTTCCTTCTTTTGAACGGAACTTTGTAGATAGCGTCATCAACTCTTACCGCACTTTAAAGAGTCCGCGGACCACAGTTTAAGTTAATATTCGACAATGACGATTTATTTTTCAAGATAAACTCCGGAAAAAGCAGAACAAGTAGAATAATAAATTATTCAATTACTTTAAAATTCAAATTAAATGCTTATAATCTTAAATTAACACTTCCCGCATCGCCCGCATTTAACGATTTTCTTAAGAGTCGATCTTTTCTTTTTCCGTTATTGATAGTCCTTTGGCATTTGTCCGCGTGATGACGTAATCGCGATAAAAGGATCACTTTTCCGCAGTAGTCACAGACGGCGTAATGGGTCGACGCGATACTCTCGATTTTTTCTATTTTATCTCCTCGCCGTTTAATGCCGAATCCAGTTGCGGACACGCTTTCTGCAAATCTTGCATCGATAGGACCGTGGAAACGAGGAATCGTCGGAGATCTACAAAGTGGACACCGACGATTCCTCGGTCCTATCGATGCAAGATTTGCAGAAAGCGTGTCCGCAACTGGTGGACACCGGATCGATGTAAACGTCCAGACAGATGGGACGAGTCACTTCGGAAAGATCTATAAGTTCTTGGTCGGCCATTTTCGTCTCCGGTCTCTAAGAATGAATCGAAGAAGATTGTTTCGCGATAAAAATCGGGTGACGATTGTTTATTTCTTCGATTGTTTAGTACTCCAAACCTTTTATAATTTAAATCGGACGTTGTATTAATATTTATTAAATTCGGATCCTTAAAATAAGGCATTTTGTCTACTATATTTGTAAATTTAGGTAACAAATTTGTAATTAATTATTTCGACGTCCGTGTTTATCAACAACTCCTCAACGATAGTGCTCGCGAGAAGAGTGCGAGATCTCGTCCCGTTTTTTAAAGATTGATATCCCCGTTTTTTAGTTAGTTTCGGTTTCGTTTTCTTACTTGTTGTGTGCAGTAAACTGCTTTGTCCTTAATAATAACTTTAATAAAGTATTGAAGACATTGCTTGGTGGTATTTATAATTTGTCATCCTATCCTGCGCTGTGAACGGACGAATTATCATTGGCTTATCGTCAAAAGTTAATGATAAAAGACCTTAACCCTAACATTGATTATGAGACTGACATCGCTGATAAGGATGTAAAATGGGTAAGATTTACCCTCCGAATGAGGGGGTAGCCACCCCCCCCCAACGGGTAGCCCTCCCCCGTACGAACAATAAATGTCTAATGAACCACCCCCGTACGCGCGACCCTTCGCGAGATATAAGCCCCTGAAGTTTCGGCTACGTCATATCCGGTCACGTGACATGGTGGTCAAAAGCGGTCTACCGCGCGAAAAAAAATTTTAACGCGCTCCTCGCGAACACCTTGCTTAGGTCTCTCTCTCCTCGCGCTTCCCCTTCGCCCTTGCCGTCTGTCCCTTCCGCGCCGGCCCGCAGTCCACGTCACCCGCCTGAAGTCATCCGTAGTCGCCATCTATTGCCTGTAAATATAACTATACATTATTATTTATTAGTCTTACCTTGGCCGGGCCGCGAACCCGGGTCTATGTTGACTGTAGTCCAAGCCTTTATCCACTAGTCCAGCACGTCCGCTTACCAGAAACATTTCGGAACTCATATTTGAGACAAACGAGCCGAAGGACAGCACTGCGCATGACAGCCAAATCACGTGGTCGTTCCTCAGCCATACAGATGCAGCGCTCCGCGGGCCAATGGGACGCGGGTCACGTGACACTCGGACCGTCCCCCGAGGCTCTGCAAGCCAATGGGTGCCGACCGCGGGTCACGTGACCGTTTCCCGCGGTTATATAAGCCTTAGTCGCCTTCATATCCTCGAATCCAGTATATGTAATACCAATCATGCCTTATACATGCGATATTTCGGCGTCTCCCGTTATGGATCCCGCCACAATATTCAATAATATAACATCTTACAGTTTTCTTCGCTATCTCCCCACCGAAGAGGCTGCACAGACGTTTTGCCATCTTGTGGGGCTCGTGCCTCATCCAGACCTAACCGGTTTCTTTCCGCCATGTCCTAAGTGCGGAGGTAAGCCTTTTCTCGATTCCCGCGTTTACACGAGTGCTATCTGCAGCTATCTGGGTTAATGCTACTAATGGTTCGAAAATGGCGTCGCTTCGGTTAGGTTCGTTTCGTTTTCGTTACATTAGCTACATTTTTATCCGTCTGGACCACGAACCGTCGGAAGTACGGCCATTTTGAAACCATGGATAACAGTAACCGCTATCCTGTTTCGATATTTGACCACGCGAGTTAATAGTAGTAGTAACAGTAATATGTTAACTGCCAATATTCCAATTTACTAGTTTTTCGATATTTTTGTCGTAATCTTTAGGCACTATGCGGAAGGAACCGGCTCCATCTGACAGGTTCGGATTCGTCTACCGCTGTGAAAAAGTACAGCAGAAAAAGAAGATGAGGAGGCGGACTGGCGGCACCGTCTTCAGGGCCATGTGCACTGGTTCCCTGTCTTGCACCCACAACACCTTTTTCGAAAGGACACAGCTGACAGCCCAAGAGGTATGACATTTGAAGTCGCTCGCGAAACGTGATCGCAGAATCGGCGGTTTCTTTTTCTCTGGGTCACGTTACGCTATGCATTTCTGTAGTTTGATCGTATGGCTTGAGATGATATGTGTTTTGTTGGTTTTCTATTTTACAGGTGCTGATGCTGGTCTATTCGTGGGTCAAGCAGGAGCCGGTCACCGTCGCCGCGGAGGAATGCGGCGTGGCCCCCAAAACAGCGGTAGATTGGTACAATTACTGCCGTGAAGTTGCGGAGGTTTTCGTCTCCCACCAGCAAAACATCCAGCTCGGGGGTGAAGGCATGACCGTCGAGGTGACCATCGACCCACGTTTCTGACTTTGCCGAAATGTCTGTCTCTATATTCGTATGTTTTATTTTCAGATCGACGAGACCTTCACCCGGAGGCGAAAATACAACCGCGGCCGCGTAACTAAAGGCACCCAAATCACCATCTTCGGTGCCTATTGTCGGGAAACAAAAGAGGTGATGTACTGGCATGTAAGTAGTAGCCAAGCATTATTATTTCCTTTTATTTTTTAGTTTTTGTGGAAGTTTTGTTATAGTTTCTCGTATTCTTTCAGGTGGACAACAAGAGCCGACGGGTTCTCTGGAGCCACATGCTCAGATACATCGCCCGCGGTTCCATCATTGTTTCCGACAGCGCGGCCCAATATCGCGGTTGTACGACGATGGGCTTCTCTGAACATAAGACCGTTAATCACAGCCAGCGGGGCCCCGGGAGGTAAGGAAGATAAAACTGCAATGTGTTATGTGAAAGAAATGAACAAGCGTTATTGAAAAGTGACATTTTTCTTTTATTTTCCGAGCAGATTCGTCGACGCCGATGATCCCGAGGCCCACACTCAGAACATCGAGTGCAGAAATCGCTGGCTGAAGAAGTCCATCAAGTCGCTCCGCACGGACAGGAGCCTGCAGAGCTACAACTGTACGTACGTGTACAGGACGCGGGTCCTGTCCCAGTTGCCAACAACATCGGCAAAATTCCGGCAGTTCATCGGGGACATCGTGGCCGTCTACCCGGGCCCCGGTCGTCAGGGTCTCCAACTCCGGACGATCGGTGTGCCCGTGGATCAACATCTGCCGCCGGACGAGCCCTATTTCGATGTTCCCGTGCACGAGGGCGACGAAGAGGAACGGCAGGGGGATGACGACCGCCCAGTGAGTAGTGCAGCTTGTGTATATTGCGCGTGACCAAAGGATACCTATTTGCGGATGTGAAACCTGGATTATGTGATTTTTCAGACAACATCGGGCGCCAACATCTTCGTCATCGACCCCCAGGACCTAGCCGAGGCGGGGACCAGCGGCCTCACCCCGTCCTCACCCACGCAACATCGGGAATAGGCTAGGCGTCGCCAGATAGCGAAAGGACGTGGCGGGAGATGCAGGAGGAGACGCTGTTGAAGGTGAGTGTACAATCTGGTTTCAAAACGGTTTTCTATTAGCCTAACTAGTGACAGTCACTTCCGAAGAGGTAGGTCAGGTGTTTTGGACAAGCCGCGAAAGCGGCGCGTAGTACTAGCCGACCGCGATCAAAACCGAGCGTGTCGGTGAATGAGGGGCCCTAGGTCCGAGGTCAAGGATGAGCGCGGGGTCGTGCGAAAAGGACCTAACTCGGCAATAATTAGACTGTAGTACATTAGAATAGGTCGATAGGCTTAGCGGTGCTTAGTACTGTAGCCGACCGGGCGAGCGATACCCAGTGTGTCGGCGAATGACGGGCCCTACACCCTCCCGAGGTCGAGAAGGAGCGCGGGGTCATGCGAAAAGGACCTAACTCCGAATTAGACTGCAGTAACGTTAGAATAAGTCGATAGGCTTAGCGGTCGAAAAGCTTAGTAGAAAGAACGACGCGACTCGTCGATCCCGATCGCCGGAAATGACGTAGGGGATTCTTTACAGGGCTATATCTCGTAAAGGGTCGCGCGCAGGGGTATGGTTCCCTTGACTTTTTCGTTCGCACGGAGGGGGTCTTCAATTCGGGGGGGTCGCCGATCCGCTCATTCGCAGGGTAAATTGTGGCTAACATGCGGTCACGTGACCCGTACAACAATTTTCGGAGGGCTATATCTCGCAAAGGGTCGCGCGTAGGGGGGTGGTTTATTAGACATTTATTGTTCGTACGGGGGAGGGCTACCCGTTGGGGAGGTGGCGACCCCCTCATTCGGAGGGTAAATCTTACCGTAAAATGCATGTCTCAATAAGCTATGACGTCCTTTAATAAGTCATAAGCAAAATACAAGTTAGTAATTATCGAAAAAGGCGTTTCGACTATCGTCGTTCTGACGTTATACCGCCATCTTGGAATTATTTTTTTCTCTTGGCAAAAGTAAACCGTCACAAATGGCAGTTTCAAAAGAAGATAATAATAGTATTGAAAAATTAAATGATAAAAATTATTTAATATGGAAGTTTCGAATGGAGATGCTATTAATTAAAGAAAATTTATATGACGCAGTATTCGGCGTTAAACCTGAAAAACCAGACGATGCATACTATAAGCGTGATCGNGGAACGGCAGGGGGATGACGACCGCCCAGTGAGTAGTGCAGCTTGTGTATATTGCGCGTGACCAAAGGATACCTATTTGCGGATGTGAAACCTGGATTATGTGATTTTTCAGACAACATCGGGCGCCAAAATCTTCGTCATCGACCCCCAGGACCTAGCCGAGGCGGGGACCAGCGGCCTCACCCCGTCCTCACCTACGCAACATCGGGAATAGGCTAGGCGTCGCCAGATAGCGAAAGGACGTGGCGGGAGACGCAGGAGGAGACGCTGTTGAAGGTGAGTGTACAATCTGGTTTCAAAACGGTTTTCTATTAGCCTAAGTAGTGACAGTCACTTCCGGAGAGGTAGGTCAGGTGTTTTGGACAAGCCGCGAAAGCGGCGCGTAGTACTAGCCGACCGCGATCAAAACCGAGCGTGTCGGCGAATGAGGGGCCCTAGGTCTGAGGTCAAGGATGAGCGCGGGGTCGTGGGAAAAGGACCTAACTCGGCAATAATTAGACTGTAGTACATTAGAATAGGTCGATAGGCTTAGCGGTGCTTAGTACTGTAGCCGACCGGGCGAGCGATACCCAGTGTGTCGGCGAATGACGGGCCCTACACCCTCCCGAGGTCGAGAAGGAGCGCGGGGTCATGCGAAAAGGACCTAACTACGAATTAGACTGCAGTAACGTTAGAATAGGTCGATAGGCTTAGCGGTCGAAAAGCTTAGTAGAAAGAACGACGCGACTCGTCGATCCCGATTGCCAGAAATGACGTAGGCGATTCTTTACAGGGCTGTATCTCGTAAAGGGTCGCGGGCAGGAGTATGGTTCATTTGACTTTTTCGTTCGCACGGAGGGGTCTTCAATTCGGGGGGGGGGTCGCCGATCCGCTCATTAGCAGGGTAAATTGTGGCTAACATGCGGTCACGTGACCCTTAGAACAATTTTCAGAGGGTTATATCTCGCGAAGGGTCGATCGTAGGGGGGTGGTTCATTAGACATTTATTGTTCGTACGGGGGAGGGCTACCCGTTGGGGGGTGGCGACCCCCTCATTCGGAGGGTAAATTTTACTGTTTTTGCGCTTTTGCGGGAAATCGAACATATTTTTATGCTCATGTACAAATTCTCTGGAAACGTCTGGAAACGAGAGATCTAATTCTTGCATTCTGTGAAAACGGGTAAGATTGACTATAATGTAATTATCTTAATCTTCACTATCGTTACTTTTTGCCCACAAATAAAAACCCAGCGAAGCGGGTCCTTGCAGCTAGTATATATATAATTTTTATTTCGTAATTTAGAGTTGCAGACTGTTCATTTTTGTAGTCGTGTACAATGTTTTTTAGAAAAGATAATGTTTATGGTATCAGAGTCTAAAATCGTCATTGTGAAGCCTCCGTAGCCTTTTACGGTCATTCCATCATCATAACGTTCAATTTTATAGTTTCATTCTTCTTCTTCTTCTTCTTTCTCCTTGTTCTTGCAAGTAGTGTTTTTGGAATACCCAAATTGTCTTGGCGAATGAAAAGTTTAAATCAGTGTTTCCCAACGTTAGGCCTACGTCCCACATTCCTGCAATTGGATTGTTAAGGGGGCAATTCGTAAATGGACTCGTCCAGAGTTTAAGTTAACCGTATAGCCGCTGTATATGTTAGGGGGGCATAATAATTTTAGAATGGCTTAGGTGGGGCATAGCACAGAAAAGGTTGGGAAACACTAGTTTAAATCTTTTACATTCGAATCATGAAGTCACATATTTTACTCATACATGTGACTTCATACTTCTTATAGAAACGTCAATCTGTGTTATCTGTATTTTATTGCGAAGAATAATTAATGCTTTTCGAAGGTTTTTAGACATTAATAGTATTATTCAAGACGTTTCAAGTGTTGTTGCTACTCGAATTATCATTTAAATAACAACACTTAAAATTTATAATTATTTCTTGAAAACATTCAAAGTTCTCCTCTGTCCAAAATTTTTGTTTAACTTTAAAATAAAAATCCACTGTATTACTGAAAGCACCAAAGCACGTATCAATACAAAATAATAAAAGAAGCTTTAATAAATTACACGCAATTTTCTATATAGTACTTAGAAAAGTAAACGTCGTGTTACGTACACGACAGTCGAGAAAGTAGATCTATTCTGTTATATAAAGGTACTCCATTAATTAAGAAAGTGCATTCTATATTAATAGTGTGTACTCTTCAGAAAAGCAAATTTGTCCTAAGATATTAACATTTATTGTCTGTAATATAATCATTAAAATGATACGAAGAATGTGACAGCATTAAGTACTCACATTATGAAAATAAATCATTATTCTCGATTGTACGAACTCGGATTGAGCGAATTTCAGAAACATTGGACCAAATTGCGGCTCAATAACAGAAGTTAAGCTACAACAGTGACAATCTGATAATATACAGTAGAGCCTCGATTATCCGACCCCTTATTAACCGACACCTCAGTTAACCGACCGTCCTAGTCGGCAAATTTCAAATGTCCGCTAGTGACGTGGCGCTACAATATTTGGCTATGTCTTGGCTACTTTAATATTATTTTTACGTGTTTTAGCTGGCAACACTCATTCGACCATGAAAGGGAGCCAGTATTTAAACGAGGCTTAATTTTCTAATTTTTAACGATAGAATAGCGACGATTATTATTTAAAAAAATTTTTATTAGGCTTAACATCGATGAAAATTCAACGCGAAGTAGGTTAATAGCGATATACTAATATACTAATTACATGGGATATAATAATATACTACACTAATAACGGATTTTTTCATACTTTTCGGTTATCCGACTTTTCAATTATCCGACCAACCCCAGTCCCCAATTGAGTCGGATAATCGAGGCTCTACTGTATTACTTTTCCAACAAATATTTCTCAACGAGCAAAATTGGTCCAGTGTTTCCGAAGTTCATTATATCGGAGTTCGTACAATCGACAGTAATAAAACTTTATTTTCGTCGTATGATTATTTTTAGTATGCGCTTCATCGTGACTTAGTAATTATATTTCTAACAATAAATTGTGTTAAATGTTTGCTCGTTTACGTAAGATAGATAAGTCTGCTTCATCTAAGAGTAAACAATGCAGTCTATCAATTAGTTGAGTGAATATTCCTTTACATAACAAGATACACATACTTTTCCTGATTGATGTACATGTATAATTACATTTTCTAATTGTAGAAAATCGCGTAAAATCTGTTCAGCTTCTGATTTTATCATGTCCTGATACTGGCTTGAGTACCATAATTAGTGCTTTTGCTGCTAGATTCACGTTTTAAGAATAAAAATAACAAATAAAGCAGAAATTTTAAAATCCTCGAAAGGTAAACGAAAATTAATTTTATTTCAAAAATATTTTGAGTAACTTATAAACTTCCACTAAAACTGTTTAATGTATAGAAAAAAATTATAATTTTTTGATAGCAATTATATTGTCAGTAGTAAGAAAATAAAATGAAGTATTGTCCACTATATTTATACGATCCTATTTTCTCTTCTGTAAAAGTATTTGGAATAGATTTACTAAATTCCTGCGAATGTCTCGAGCAGAAAAACAAAACGAAAAGGAAATATTTTCTGTCCACGTGTTTTAAATTTTATGCAAATTTCCTCGAAGTATATCTCTGGCTGAAAGCGCTCGAATTTTTTCTTCAGATTCTAAGACCAGACTATTATTGCCTTCGAATAACGAAAATATATCAGGAACATTCGACTCTAGCTTCGTTAACACTTCTATTTATTGCAATGTATATTGCACTACAGTTTAGCATTGTCAAAAGGAAATCATTGGATTTGCATTACTCGAAATTTGATTACGAAAAAGAATACAAAATTGCAAATCGTATACAAATGTCATTAGTTGCAAGTTTGTCTTTGGTATTTTCGGCGTGGTTACTAATGTGCTTAACGTCCACGTTAGTACTATACACCGAGATAAAGATACAAAACGGAAGCGATTTTGAAGCAACGACATGTTCTATTAATCATACAATATGGCTTCTGTATGTAGTGGGACATATTGCTTCTCTCCTATTAATTTCTGGATTATGTATATTTGTATGGTCGAAAAGATTTGCAAATTTATCTCAAGAATTACAACAGACAAACATTCGAATGGGATTGTTGAAAATTCGATTACAAATCATTATGGAAAAACACACGGAATTGTGGGAAGCTTATCAAATGATCAACGAAACCTTTTATTGGCTGATTCCTTTAATTTATACTCATTTCCTTTATATTACCTGCTTCTACACTTATGGAACAATATTTGGGCATATGAAATTCAACATTCGAATATTTATTGGAATTTGTTCTTTAATGTTCGGTTTCGGTCTTATTCTTGTAGCCTGGTTATTATCAAATGCAACGATATCGGTAAGTATTTCAAAGAATATTTTGAATCATAAAAAAATAGTTTTCAATTAATCACTTAAAAACCATTTAATTAACATTTTTGCGTATTTCGTTAATAAAAAAACCAAAATCTATAAGAAACTTGTAACAAATATTGTTAGATCGCAACTATGCTAATGGAATA